GTTTCTGCTGACAGTTGTTTTTACTTTGAGGCAGTTTATATGATTCTGGGACAGTTGGCTCACAGAAGTTGTAAAAGTGACCAGAAATTAATGTGTTTTGTTTTAGAGCAAAAGATGAATTGAGAATAAAAAGTCTTCTTAAATCTTATGCATCTGACTCAGAATACAACCTGAAGCACGTTTTGCATTTCACAGAGTGACATCCGTGTGTGTGTGTCTGTATGCTTTTTTTGTCTTATTTCCTCTTTTTGTTTTTATTTTCTGCTTGGCGACTGCTTCTTCTCTCAGACACCGCAAACCTCTAGAGATGGCATTTTAGCTCATATGCCGTGTAAACCAAGTAAAAGGAAGCATCCACTTCCTGCACCCAAGAACTAATAAAATGGATATTTAAAATGCATTACCTGTTCATCCCAATGACGACAGAGTGACTGAGAGCCAGGCAGGGACATTAGAATAAAAGATTTATCATATAATTTTTTTAAGAATGCTTATGTAAGCACTTGTCTTAAAGAAAGATGCGTCTTTGTAACCTCTTTGTAATTGTAACCTCATCATCATTAATTTTATCTTATGTGACACATCCAGTTTGCAGTCTGTGCTAAAAGATTCCTACCTTTTGAAAGGCAGATAAATGGACAAGACAATTGAACTTCAGATACCAAGTCTTGCCACAGACTGAAATGTGATTGTAGCCTTGGACTTTGACTAGGTCATTCTAACACAAAGTTGTGCTTTGATTTAAGTGATGAAACTGTAGCTCCAGCTGTATATTTGGGTTAATATGTTGTAGAAACGAAGGTGATCCTCTACTTCATTCTACATTTTCTGGAGAGCTGCATGATAATTGGAAAATGGCATATGTTTTGATGTTGGTGACTATCATGCAAACAGTATAACTTTAAAAAATAAATAAATGGTAGATACATCATAAAACAAGGGTAATGCTGGAGATCTGCCTGTTTTCCAGTGTGGTCCTGTTTCTCTGACCATGACTGGCTGAATGTGCTCTCTTCATCCTCTGACATGGGAGCTGGCTCGGAGCTCGTCTGCCTGGCTGTGGGTTTCCGCCTTTTACAGCTGCTTTTTGTATCTCTGCTTCTGTCTCTTTGAACACCTGTCGATCTCGGCAGATGGCCGCTCACACTGAGCCTGGTTCTGCTGGAGGTTTCTTCCTGTTAAAAGGGAGTTTTTCCTCTCCACTGTCCCTACAAGCATGCTTAGTTTGAGGGATTGCATTCGAGTCAATGAGTCGATGCAATCAACTGGTTTTCCTTAGATAGAAAACTTTGAATCAGTCTGACTGGATGATCTGGTGAACTGTAAAGTGCCTTGAGATGGCATGTGTTTTTAATTGGCGCTATAGAAATAAACAGAATTGAATTTAATTAATATTTTTGTTATTTGGGTCTATTGCAAACAGAAAGCATAGCTCAAGCATATTTAAAGCCCATTTAAAAGCAGAGTTTTGCAGAGGTGGTTAGTGTGGTAGTCAGGACAAGAGAAACTGACAATGAATACATATGACTAGATTATCTAAGCACTTAAAATAAAGGCTTTGCTGTGCAATAGGTCATGTTATGCACACCTGAAAAACACAATTGATCAAAGCTTTCAGTGCTCAAAATAGGGTCTGAATTACATGTTTTTATTTTTTCAGCGTGTTCCTTTTGTTTTTGGGATTACCATGAAGAACAGGGTTTTTTTTAAGTTGTCATGGTTGTGAGAGTGGTCATAAATGAACGAACAATGGAGAATACATCCACAAGAGGGAAACCAGAAGGCTATTAGATGACATTAGTCTGACTTCCAAGTAAAAACATATGCATAAAAAAAATATATTTTGCACTGTAACATAGAGAGAGCAGCCCTAAGGTCCTGTTTATCAAAATTACATTTGGAGTTTAGTAACTATATAATGATTAGTTTAGCCAACTTTCCATCCTAGTAGACCCACTTATCCTTGCAGGATTATGTGATAATGTTGCCCATCTCAATCATTAATTCAACAAGAGGTTAAAAAAAAAACCATATGGACAGCTTTCCCATCCACTGCAGGGCCACAGGAAGATGGAGTAAGAAAGTTCCTCATCCTGCGCTTTCCTCTATCCTGCTCATACCCTAATAAAAATATACCAAATATACTACTTAAATAAAGAGCCTGAGCACATTAAAACTTAGAAAATAAGTAGTATTTATTGGTCAAGCATGTCTTTGCTGCATATCTATATTTCATACACTGTGTTGGTGCAATAAATCTGCAATATATCCTGCTGCCTATTTTAAAGTATTTAACAGGTTTTCTATTGCGATTGTCGGATATTTAGTCCTATCTATCTTTAAAATAACTACATCTGGTCCAAGAACATAGAAGATAAAATTTAAATTACATTTAATATTGGAAAATCTGAGTGAGATCTTCAAAATATTTCATCTATTCTCCTAGACAATTAAAAGAATGTGTGACACCAAAATGAGACTGTGTCTCAGTTTTTTCTCTGGTTCAATGCAGCCTCTTTTCAAGTTTCAGAAAAGACCTCAACAAGCTCAAATATAATTCTCAAACTTTCTCAACTTTTGTGTATCTTTGTGACCTTGACCGAGAACTCAGCAAGCTCTCTCTTTGAGCTCAGTCTGTTCTCAATTCAGCTGCATAATCATTTTCGGAAAAACATTAAACACAACATTCCTAGAACTGACTCCGCATTTAAGATGTCAGATTACTCTGAAATACAGATAGAATAATTTGATGTTGCAGTAAAGCAAAAATAAGTAGGCAAATCACTTGGCCAAGATGGTTGACTTCCAATTTTCATGTTTCTCTGGGAAGAATTATTATTAAAAGATTTGAAAGACCTTATTGAAAATGATAATTTAATGCCAACTATGAAACAAGAAGTCATTACATTACTACCCAAACTTGGAAAAGACAAAGAAATATCAATAATAAGGCCAATAACTTTGTTGAAAGTAGATTACAGATTATTCACCTTTATCTCATTCAATCGACTGAAAACTGAAAAAAAAAAAAAAAAATATTAGGTTGGTTCTTGACTTAATAGACTTCAAAACCAGGAGATCAGAAGTCCGAAGAGGTTCCGAAGGAAAATCCAGGTTGTTGACAGAAAGCAGTTCTAAGTTCAGTAAACAGGCACAAACCAGCAGGAGTCCATAGACAGGTCAGGCAAACAGATTATATGGGAACAGGCAGGCCCAGTCGTTGAGAGGCAGGATCAGGTAATCAGAAACACTCAGATAATGCTGGTACATTCTCACCACTGGCTCGAGAATATTCGGGCTTGATGACTGGAAGTAGGCAGGTTAAATAAGAAACTGGATCAGGTGGATAAGATAAACGGTAATGAGAAAACAGGCGGAGCTTTGCAGGTGAATGAAATGAGTAATCCAGTCATTCATCAGCAGCAAGATCATGACATAACTACGTCCTTAGAGTATTGTGATTAAAGAAAGTGTTTAAATTAATGGATAGGAATATTAATAGAATCTTTCAATGTTTTTCTGTCCCTGACCAAGTTCCTTAAGTTGTATGTGAAAAGAACTGATTGTGGTGAGAGGACACAGTGGCTCCTGTGTGCGGCAGCTTAGCTTCTGTCGGTAGCTGTGGCTAGAACAAGGCTTACCATGTTGGTGTGTGCATACAGTATGAATGGGTGTAAATGTGTAAATTCAGGTTTTACAAGGTATATCCTTTAAATTATTAAAATAATAATTCTTCTAGTGAATTTTAGGAAAACATAAGAGAAACTTTAGACAAAGTAGAAACTAAAATGAGGCTTAGATGAGAAACCCGAATATATCTCATGAAGAACAGAAGAATTTTGAGCTGTCACATTTTCCTCTGGGAATCTTCTCTACATTAAATTAGGGGAAGTTTAAACTTTTAGACAGACTGAAGAAATTTGTGTGGCATTAAGTACTTTAGTCAGACACATTTTTCCTAATCATGAAAACTTTTTCTATGAGCAGTTTTTCAGTATTTTTTCAGTATTTTGCCTTTTTTCCCTCGTTGTTCTTTATCATTTCTGTCTCAATCTTCAGTGAAATCATTCATGGTTTGTAATCAGATTATCAACAATTTCTCTGGAGAGATTTTCTATTTCACTGTGACTAATGTCTCAGTTCATCTCAGCAGAGGGAGATCACATTAGTCCGTTAGACTGAAGATGGTATGATGATGACAACAGAGACACGTAGAAAGCTTTTGATTCTGAGCCATCCAGTTTTCTCATCATATTTGGCCTCACTGTCTGTGACAGCAATCTCATCTGTCACTGTTGCTTTTGTGGCTTCTTATTCTGTTGTTTTCTATCCCAGTCTTTGCTCATATTCTTACCAGAGCCACAGTCGCATCAACTTGGTCTGATGGAGAAGAAAACAAACAGTTTTTCCAACAGTTTTCTGACACCATCTCCTCCCAGCTTCTCACTCACTCAGCTTAACAAGGGAAATTGTTTCCCACCCTCCATGCCTTTGTCTGGCTTTTTCTGTTGATGGGTGTGAGTTTTGGGTGCTTTTCCAGTTTTGTCTGGGATCCAGGAAGCAGCCCACACAAAGGCTCATGTGCTGTCGCCAGATTGGCTTAATATGTTCTCAGTTTTCCACCCAGCATTTTGCTACAAAAAATAAATATACTGAGTTTTTTATGAAGTTCTTCTCGCATAGACAAATGATCACACTGGGAATAGAACCGAGAAACTTTTCTATCTTAAATACATCAGAAAGGAGATTAGAAGAGATTTCACATCAAGTGAAGAATGGCTGAACAAAAACGGCACCTTCAAACTAATTTTTTCCTTCCGGCTTTTCTCCATTCTTGCAATATTAATGTGATGTATCCAGCAGGTAATAATGTGATAATAAATGTTGAGAAACAATGTTGGATTTATCCCTTGTCCTTTGATGCTTTTACATGCCTTAAATGACTTTTTTTGCATTCATTTCTTATCCCTCCTTATTATCCCTCCTCATTCTCCACACAGTGTTGTATAGACAACTATGAAGAGATGGTGAAGCTCCTGCTGGACCGAGGAGCCAATGTTAACGCTCAGGACAATGAACTGTGGACACCGCTGCACGCTGCTGCAACCTGCGGCCATGCAGGACTCGTCAAAATTCTCATCTCTCAGTAAGTCATGTTAAATGGAATCATATACTACCTCTGCTGGTGTCTGGAAATGTCTCCATAAAATCTTAAAGCTCCATCATTTACAAAGCCTAACAAGAGGAATGTGTTTTTGTTCAAATAGTTTTCTCTGTTTATCTAAAAAAACAAAGCACTGTTAAAACAGATCTTATCAGCCAAATTAAAGGCAGTCAAGGTTATTTTAGAAAATGAACAGCAGTACCTTGTTTGAATTTGTGAAAGCTCAAATTGGTGGTTCATTTATATGTGGCTGCAAGAATGTATTATTTTAACAAGACAATCGTTTGCTTAAGATCTTACCTCATAATTAAAGATGAACCAAAAATCTGTCTGACATAAGGTGGGCTTCTATCCACTGAAGTTGCTGCAACCATTGATTGGTCGATCAATAACTAAAAATAAACAGCTTTTCTCTTTTTTTTGTCAGGTTAATTAAATGCTCAAAAAGATGAAACACTTTCTTTTGTATTTAAAAACTACATCTGTTGAACAATTGCTGCATATTTTTTTAATAACTCTTAAAAAAACATAATAAAATAACTTCTAATCATAAAGAACAGGTCATTACTTAAAGCAAAATCTGAAACTGTAAGCATTTGGGAGAAGTCTAATCAGTACACCTCAATCTTGTGAATCAATAAAATTACCTGATGTTTTAGAATTTCAAGTATTTACAGTATCAAATATACAGGTATTAGTAACAAGAAAGGAAAAGAATATAAATGAGACAAAAAACATGAGTGAAGGATGTATTGGTTGGCTTATTTTTTGCTCACTGCAGTCTTTTATTTCTAATAGCAACATCAGCACACACGATCCCCCTATGGCAAGACCTTAATGTTATGAAGCTTTAAATGTGAGAAATAATGCATCAATCCCTGGGATAAAAATGAATTTGAATAAGGATTCAATGATTCAGCACCTATAAACAAATAATACAAATTATTAATAGCTCCCACAGTTTAGGGTAACATAATTTTATTGGGTTAAAGAAAATCTCTTTAAATGCAATGAGCTTGACTATTTTCATGCATGAGCACCAGATATTTTCTGCTGAATGTGCATCGTGTTTTAACTGGACTTTCTCTGCAGTTGGAGTGCTTCTTCAGCACAGACTACAGAGTTTAAATGCTGGAGAAGCACCTCATTGGCAGGAATAACACCAGAAAAAATGCCTGATTAGAGCTCAAATCCAGCAGAAATTCACGCATAAACTATGCTGTTAGAATATGTGTAGACATCCAGATCTTTGGATGAGCATGCTTTATGGTTGCTTAGCATGGGATTTAATCAAGAATCGTTATTGTCATTATGAAAACTGTAATTAAATTTTGATGAGACACGAAAAGAACTCAGCCTAAAGTTATAAACAGTTTTAGATAAAGGAAAAAATATATATATGGATATATAGTATACCTTAGAAGAAAAGAATAAATGCTAAAATATTAAACTCACTTAATTAAAATCAAAAGTAATTAAAAGGCTCACTTGTCAGAACAAAAGCTGTATCAACAATAGATTACATTTCATTAAAGCTAAAAGTCGATTAGTAGATTGATTGAGTTTGACTATACTATAAAAGTATGGGGCTTCAGGTAGGGACAGACAGTCATTAGGTCAGTTATTATTTGTATGAAATAGACAGTTATCATGTTTCTATCAACTTTTTGGGGGTTTTAACGAATCCCATTAGAAGACTTTGATGGAAACAGCAAAAAAAAAAAAAACTGAAATAAATACAATAAATTTCTTTTTTTTCTTTTTACCTTTTTGAAAAAGTGTTAATGAACTAAAGAGGAGATGGATGCAAATTTTTTGAAAAAGTTCTAACATAGCAAATATTTACCTCTTAGGACATATGTTTTTTGCTGCGCCTTCAGGTCCAGTCCTGAATGCAGAATTAGAATCACACTTCTGTCTCTCGATGTCTCAGGAAGGCATTAACCACCGTTAATACTAGCTGGCATTAGTAAAACTTGCCTGTAACAAGTTTAATAAAACCCTGATCCATCACTGATCTGTGGTCCCCACTACAGTACCTTAACTCTATTTCCTATTTAATACCGGTAAGAGTAACATTAGCGTATGACAACATTCTGCTTTGCATAACTTCGTTAATTCGCTCCTATTGATGAAATCATGTCTGATTTCGTGTTTTCTTTTTTCGACTTCTCAAACTTTTGCTCAAATTCGGATCACAATTGGATGGAAACATGACTAATAGGATGTGGGTTTTGAACGCAACACTTATGTTGCTGCTACCGTTTAGTATGAGCTGAACCCAAAGAGCTAAGACTTTCTTTGTGCACAAATATCCTGCACAAATCCATCTAAATCTCTGTTAGGGAGCACTTCTCATCAGGATGATCATTGATCAAGTGTGGCATATTAAGATGCTGATTAGACAGCCCAATTGTTGCATGGGTGTGCCTTAGGCTTGTCATGATAAAATGCCACTCTAAAATGTGTGGTTTTATCTGACAGCAAACTGCCACAGATGCAGCAAGATGTTTAGTGAGAATGTTATTGGGATCCTGACTGACTGGATCCACCAGAGCTGTTACCCATGTATTGATTGTTCATTTCTCTACCATAAGCCTTCAAAGGCTTTTTAGAGAGATTGGTTGTGCATACATCCAGCCTCAGTACTGCAGACCACATGTAACCACACCAAATCAGAATCTCTACATCAAGCACCTCTAAGATGGCCCCACATCATGCACCCTGGGAGATAATGAAAAAAAAACAAGCAATTTCTGGTTAAACGGTCAAAAATCATCAGAAGGAATCTCATCTACATCCTTGTCCTCATGTTTGTTTGAAACTGACTGAAGTTCATTGAAAGGGCAAATTTGATGGGGTCTGGCACTTTGGAGTGGGGTTTTCTTTACAAATGAATCCAGGTTTTCATTGCACACAGCAGTTGGCAGACAGCATGTACGCCATTGTAGTAGGGCGCTTTGCTGATGTCGGCATTGTGGACCAAGTGGCCCATAGCAGACCATAGTGGTGTTGCAGTTATTGTATGGGCAGACATTTATTATAGACAACAAAGACAGGCGCATTGAATCAACTGCAGTTTCTATCCACAGAGTACAAAAAAGAGAGCTAATTTTACCATGGCCAGCCTAAGGCACACCTGTGCTACACACTCTAATAAGCATTTTGATATGCTGCACCTGGAAGATGATGGACTACCTCAGCAAAAGAGAAGTGCTCACTAAAACAGATTTAGATAGAACTGTAAACAATATTTTAGAGAAATAGGCTTTTTGTGTACAAAGAAACAGACTCTAAGATCTTTGGGTTCAGCAAATGGGAACAACAGAAGCAGCGGCTTTATACTTGTGTTGAGTCTATTTTTGCTGTTATTTAATTATAGAAATCAATAATTGCAGTATATAATTTAATACAAATGCTGTCTAACAGTACAACTGCAGCACCCATTGACATTTTGTAGTAAAGTAGTTGCTGTTATTTGGTAACTTTTATGTAAATGTTTCTGGGAAAGTGGATTTATGCAGGTGAAGACATCTTTACCTGTATTACTTTTGCTTTCTTTGTGAAAAAAGAAACAAGCTATAATTATGAAATTTCAGATAAGTATCACCCATGACTAGTTTTTTGTCCTTAAGTGGAACCAAAAGAAAACAGACTGTTTTAAATCAGATTAAAGCTCCACTTGCTGAACTGATAATTGCTGTAGGGGAATGGTGGGACTCACAATTTCCCTAAAGAAATTAACAGCAATGGTACATTTTTAAGCTTGTTTGTTTTTAGGTTTATTTGCAGCAGTGGATAACAAAATAGCAATTTGTTGGAGCCTGAATTGATTTTCTTTGATTTCGTTGTGGAGAAAAAGGACAATTTTCTCTCCTAAAGAGTAACAAAATTGGAGATAATGCACATAGGAGTGGAAAAAATTGCAATCTTAGTTTAGAAAAAAAAAGTGTGCAAAACAAAAATAAAAGGGTTACACTACGTAGGAATGTGTGATATTTGAAAAATAATAGCATGGAAGAGATTTGAGAAATAAAAAAATATAATAATTAAGTCTCTCCTGTCCTTGGCAGAGGTGTCAAAGGAGAACAATCACTGATTGACTTTCCGTCCATCTCTATTATGAAAATTGTTTTAATTATTTAGTAACGCTGAGACAAGCTCCTGTCTTTGTCACCTTAATTAACAGTGAATAGCTGGGATATTGTGACTCACACATCAATATTTTTCACCTGGATTTAATTAGATGGCTTTTATTAAGTTTTAATTATAACCTAATGAAGATATAACATCAAGATATGTGCAGGCACCAAGAAGAACCTCTGAGAAATAAAAGTAAAGCATTCACACCCACATTGTTACTGTTATGAGGGATGAATAAAGCTCATAATAATAGCATCTGTGGCAGCATTTTAGTCACCCTTTGCCTATATTCATCACATCCGGAGCCTTCATTAACATCTAACACAATTTTCCTGTTTAATCCACACAGTATCCACAGCAGATGAATATTACATATTAGTTTAAATACTGATCTGCCTTTTTCCTAGATGTACTTGTTTTATTTGCTTAAGTGAAGCTCTGGTAAAAGTAAAATAATCAATTGAATTCCTTTAAGTCAAAGTCAAATGTTCCAGATTTTACTTTAATACAAAAGTAAAATTATGTTTTTTTTTATAATCAATTCAAGAATTACTTTTAAAAGCTACTTTAAAAAAACATATTATGCAGAGAAAACTGTTAAATCTTTAATCAACTTAGGTCATTACATAAAAGTAATGACTTGGTTTAGTTTAGTTTTAAATCAAAATCAATTACAAACGATACAAGGATAATATAGATTGACCTTAACTAAAGTCCTGCTTAAGCATTTGAATACTTTTACTGTAGATCTCTGGAATTTACAGAATTACATTTGCAAAAAGCATTAAAATTGAAGTAGAATGTGAAACCTGTACTTTCATTTAAAATAGAACTAATTGGAATTGATGGGGAATGTCTTTCATTAGAATCCAGTCTGTCATCTGCATTATTTCCCAGCCATGTGCCTTCATTTACGTTGCTATCAGTGCTTTTATATAAACAAACAGAGCTCCAACGGGACAGTTTGTGTTCACACCCTTGATTTTCCCCTCTTTTGTTGTGACTCTCATCTTATGTCTTTATTGTTATCAGAGATTTGATTAAGGAGTATAAAGTACAAATTGTTGTGTTCAAAGGTAGTGAATAAAAGTAAAAACTAATCCTAAAAATGAATACTTAAATAAAGTACAGGAACTCAAAAAGCTCCCTAAGTACAGTAACTTGGTATTTATACTGTTTGTAACTTTCAACAGTGGTGCAGATCTTCTTGCTGTCAACTCAGATGGGAACATGCCCTATGACCTGTGTGAAGATGACCCAACACTGGATATCATAGAGACAGCAATGGCCAACAGAGGTAGGATGTGAAACTTTTAAGAGGTGAAAAATCTGCAGCAGTTCATTTCTTTTGCATCTGTGAGGAATTATGCTACGTTTACACCGTGCGTGCTTCGAGCATCAGAAGCAGGCGTTTTACATATAGTCAATGTTTGACACGCATCAAGGTGCATCAAAAGGTCCTGTAGCGCATCCAGAGCAGCAGGAGCGGCGCATCTTGACGCATCTGAGCAGCCACTCATGAGCTTCTGAACATCAGAGGTGCATGACGCACTTCACCAGCAGCAGATGCTTGTGAAGTGGCACATCAACCAATCAGAGAAGCTGATCTGGGAGCTGGCAGGGAGACAGACAGCACTGCTGATGCAGATGGCTATGATCCCTCCTCTGAAACAGTTAGTTAATGCCTAAATTACTTAGAATGTTGAAACCTGTCTGCAAAATGTGCTAATTTTTATTATATTCTGGTGCTTGCAGTTTGTACCAGACACCTGAAAAACTCTAACATCTACTTTCAGCTGCAACAAAGAGTAGAGGCAAATCCCCAAGAGGCGACTTGGCCTGAGGCAGCTGCTGTTGGGGATTGCCAGTGACAGAGCACTGACAGTATGTGTGGGTCTGAGTGGCTCTGACCCACACATACTGTCAGTGCTGCCAAATACTGTCAGACAGCGAAATAATATTTGAAGGCAGGATCATAATCTTGATGAACTGACCGTACAGACGACGTTTTGAGGTGGACTTTCTAGCCTAAAAATATTTTTACCCACTGATCACAGCAAATATAGCAACGTCATTATCTGCCATTGAACACAGCAGCAGAAGCATCAGACGCAACTGGACACACTTTACTGGACTCGCTGCATGAGCATCAAAGATGCTCTTGATGTGCTTCGGACCTTAATGCACACAAGCATCAATAACGAAGCGGGAGACGCTTTTTTGCTGCTCATAGCGCGTCCGATGTGAACATAGCATAAATGTTTGGTTTTTATTAGAATATTCTCATGTCAAATAAACCGCTTTAGATTTTTTGATACAATAAGGTAAACACTTTGTAATATCATTTCATTGAGTTTAATAAAAAAAAACACATTAAATCATCGACTAATACTGCCACTACTGAAGTACTATTACGTACTGATATAATGTTGACCATGTTTTAAATGTTTATAAGATCTTCACTAGGCTGTTTCATTTAAAAGATCAGTGTTGAAATCCTCTTCTAAATTAAAACTACTTTAGTTTACAGACAGCATCAGTCAAACAATCAGTCAAATTGTAACAACAGAATCAAACTTTGTTTAGTTAGAAGACCATTAGAAAATGAATAGAGATGTTACAAAATTCTGGCTAGATGGTCTGACAGTATTTACTTGCTGCAGTGTTTTTACTAAGATGAAAGGAAATAGAAAACTAAAATTATTTATCTTGAGGAAAATATGTAAATATTTTACACGTACATTAAGTTTGACCTGGTCCTCCTTTTCTTACAATATTAATTGTAGAAACTCTAGAAGTTCATACTGTATTGGTTTTAGATACATAAAGATAAATTATAAATCACATCTTGAGCATGCTTTTCTGTATTTCTGTATTTTATTTACATTATCTACTTTATTTTATTTTTTTAAAATCATAAAATACTACTTTGATGAAATTTCTTCTATGGCTATATCCAAAATAAAAATGATAAACTGAAAGACTCACATTGATCAATGCCTTCAAATGCATGGATAAACAACGTTAACGATAAACACTTAGAGAAATAATAAGAAGCAGAAAAAGAAGTGCATGAAAAACAGCTGGAACACTCAGCTCACTGTAGCTTTATGAAATCCTGATCCCAAAAGAACCTGAATGGAGGTAAAGCTCTTTTAAACCTAGTCTCTGACTCCAGTTCGCCACAAAGATGCTTGTGCTAATCTAGCCAGAAAGCTAATTTCCTGTTATAGCAAAGCATGCTTTCTCTCTTTGTTGATTTACGACAAAGAGTTTTTCTATCAATAACAGTAAAAGCCCATGGTAGTAAATATATCTAAATAAAAGGTTAAAGTATCTGATTATTATTAATAGATGGATCAGATTGTATTGATGTGAAGATGTGAAAACAGCTGCAAGATCAATGCCCATAATTGCATCTTTCTGCACCTGCTCCATCAACACACTCAAATCTTTTATGTGTCCCTTAGTTTATCAAAATGATTTGATTCATTACTAATTCATACTTAGAATATGTTTACAAAGAGTGAGCCATAAAGGAGGGTTTGTGTTTATCACACAACTTCAATCTGAAAGGGGCTAGTAATTCCTAAAGATGAACACTAAATGGTTAAACTTAGGACAAAATCCTTATTTTGAGTTAAACTAAAATTAAAAATTGCTGATAACACTTCAAAAAGAACTATAGATATTTGTCAAATAGGAAAAAACGGTGCACCAGGGTCAAGGTTGTTCAATTCTTCAGGGTCTGGTGTTCTGCACCTTTAAGATGCGTGTCTGCTGCCACACCTGAATGAAATGGCTGAATGACCTCCTCATTGTAGAGTCATGTTCTCCAGAGTCCTGCTTCTTATATTGCAGTGTGTTTAAACAGGGATGGACTCCAGATCTTGAAGACAATAATTAAAAAACCCTGCCATACATGCTGGTGTACATTGTACATTGTTTTTGTTAAATCAAACTGTAAAACCACTTTGTTTCCTAGTATTTCATAGCATTTTGATATTGAAGCACTTCATTTACCTTTGTGAAGAAAATGCTTGATGATGAGAGAGCTACAATGGCCTCTCTTTACCTTTCTAACCCCATTTCCCTCTATTTCTGACCTTTTATGGTACTTGGCCTTTTTCAACAGTGGACGGCAGCCAGATAAATAGGTCTAAAAGTTCTTACTCTTTTCTCATGATTTTAACTTTGTAAAAAAAATAAATTTCCACATCCTGTTTGTGTATTATTTATTTTTGTGTTTTACACTTTGCTTATTCTCAACTGGTTTGCAGAGAAAAGGCCCTTTGTGTATATTTACTGTAACAGCTAAGGTGAGATACTGTGCGCTTCTGCAGGGAGTGAACAAGGAGATAATAAGCTAAACTAATTTGCAACTCCCAGTGAAGGTGTGAAAATAATGAAGAAAAGATCAAAGATCCTGCACGAAAAAAAATAAAAAAATATAACCAATACTAACAAGGATAAGACTCAAATAACACAAGTTCTACAATCCAGAAGACTAGTCAAATTCAAGGCTCATCTTGTGCTATTTCCATTTACTGGGGAAATAACATTTTATTGCATTGAAAATTCAAAAACTTTTTTATTCCTTATTTGAGATATTTCTTACCTTGATGCTGTGTCTGTTTTTGCAATTGTTAGGGTTGCTTGATGTATATAATATTTTTTTTATCATGATCAAATAGTTTTTGATGTTTTTTTGTGTATGGATCTAAAGTGACTCTGCCCCTTTAACTGTTGGTATTCATTTGATTCCTTTACTGAATTTCCTCTAATTTAGACAGGAAACTTTCAGCCGATAGGAACTCCAAACATCTCCCTTCCCCTTACAGCATGATGTTGTTTTGGCACTCGTCCTGCTCTGGGCTTTACAGGAGCAGATTGCAGAAGGAAACTGCAGCAGAGCTGTGACCACACATAGCTTTTAGTGTCCCGCTCAGATTTAGGACCAGCTCTCTGGGTAACCTCTGATATATTCAAAGCTCGCGTGCTCTCTCCCGATGGGATGCAGATTATGAGGCTGTATATTCATGCTGCGATGCAGTAAACAGCTGCAGACAGAGCAGTTTGTCTGTAATATTAGTGAGAGAGAGTTCAAGGAGAGCAGCGCTGATAAAACAGGCTGCAGATCAGCAAGAATGAAGGAGGGGGAGCATGTGATGTGTTTCCAATGTGTGGTTTGTGGAGATACAGCTTTATTTAGCTTGGAGTAAAATCCACATGAGGGCTCGTCAGTGCTTTGTTTTTTCATTCTTTGGTAAATAGTTACAGTACATTCACTGACTGCCATGTTATTACAGCAGCCAATGGAAGAAAGTCTGGCTGTAAGAGAAGTTATATTTTGTGGAGATATTAGCATTTTGCCTTTTTTTTTTATAAACCTGACCAGGACCAGGAGCATCTGAGCATCAGTGACCACAAGATGCATCTCCTGTACAGGAAATAGTTTTACCTTTGTAGTCCAAAAAAATTCAAATTTTTTTTTGCTTAACTTGTGTTGATACTGTGTGTGTCAGCAGGGTGGAGCACTGTGTTATATTTGGTACAGAAACAGGGTTTAGGAAAGGTGTTCTCTCTACCAAAGAGGATCTCTGGGGATATTTTTTCTTCCCCCCAAAGAAACTGAACTAAAGGTGTATGAATATTTAACAGTGGCAGAGCATAAACATGTTTCTACAGGTGCTGGAAATGCAATAATAAAATTTAGAGTTTATCAGGTTTTTTTTGTGTGTTTTTTTTGTGTCATTTTTTTACCTTTAAAAGTGAGCCATCAGGATTTCCTTTTCATTAGTAGCCGAAACCACAAATGTACATACAGCAAATTATATGTAAAGGCATAGAACCTTTTTTCAGAGCAACATTAAATATTACATTACATATTATTAATCTTTTCTTGTTTTAGGTCAATGAAGTTACATAATTTTTTTTTCTGTCAAAATAATGAACAAAAGACTTTACATAACTTCATTTAAATGTAAAGTTTACCGATATTTCTTTGATACTAGGTAGATTTGTCGTTTAGCTGGTAAGATGGGTAAAATGTTTTAGTCCCCAAGTGTCTCACAATGGTTTCTGTGAGTCCTGTTCCTTCCCTTGTGACGGACCTGATGTAACTGAATTTTGTGAAATGCAGAAGTCCCCCCTTCAGCAAAATACTCTCCCAACATAATGATGTTTTGTACTTGCTTCTCAAGACCAATTGCTTTTTATGCTGTTCAAGTATGGCGGATATGTATAACAGTGTTTAGTGAGTTTAAACCAACCAACAAGGACCCAATGTTATCTTGC